TTTTAAATTTAATCAGCACATTTAAAATGAGCAGAAATAGGCCTTTAATCTTTTTAATGTGGTACTTTTGCTGAGGAGGATGGAGACAGGGATGCCTTTAAGCCACTTGTCTGTCTCTCCCAATCTGGAAGCCTGCAGTCTGCTCCGAGACTGCCATGAAGGGAGCAGGATGTGGCCTGGCCTTGATCCTCTTCCTGCTGTGGTGGCTTGGGCTGCGTCAGGACAGTATGCAGGAGCCAAGGAAGAGTCCTGTCATCTCTCTGCTTCCTGGGGAAGCTTCTGAGGCGCCAGGATGAGCTTTAAATGAGAGCACTAAAATGGCTCAGAGGCTGCATCATTTGCATCATTCAAAAAATGCACAAAACTCTGCTTTCCTTAGGGAGAACGTAAGGCAGCCCCAGACACCCAGGTGAGAGCAGCAGTGGTGAGTGAAGAACAATCTGTGGCCCAGAGCAAGATCTTAGCCCACTTCTCCCCGAGGGATGAGGAGCCAGAGGAGATTCAAGTGGGCATCTGGAGACAGGGAGGGTATTGGAATAGTTGACCCCATTCCTCCTGAATGTGTAACAGAAGGAAGGTGCTCCTTGGCAAAGAGGCTGCATGGCAGGATGCAACCAGCACCAGAAGCTCAGCAGTTCTTCACCTGTTTTTTCATGGCTTAGAGGGACTGCCATAGCCCTCTTGGGATCAAGGCTGGGGGCTGAAAGATGTATTCTGACCTCACGCAGATGTTCCCTTCGTTTACTGGTTTATGAAATGTGGCTCATGCTCCAATTGCCCCCTCTGCTCATGTGGATAGGGTTCTGGTGTGGTGCCAACCTCACCTGCCACATTATTAGGAACAATGTGGGTGACCCCGGGCTGCTGGTGGAAGAGGGACATTGGGCAGGAGCTGCAGGTCAGACCTGGGCATCAACAACCTAGATCTTATACAAGAGGGTGTAAAACGGAGTGGAGGTGGAGGCCACCCAGCAGCTCCACCACCCAGGAGAACTGATTTACTTTATTCTCACATCCTCTGTGAGTGCTGACTTCTCCTGGGACCAAGCAATTGCCTGTCTTCTGGGGAAGGGAGATGAAAGGTTGAGTGACTGCAGTGGCTCCCTCTTGGGCAGAACATGGAGAGGGCTGTGAAACACAAGTCCTGTCTGCCTGACCCAGCTGGACAGGACAGCAATGCTCCAGCCCTGAGTGGCTTCCACATGGGGCCAGCACCTTGCCAGCAACCTCAGACTCCCATGGAGGGCTTTTCCCCAGACCCTCCAGCTTTCACGGATGTGGGAAGCTCAAGCATATGTTGCTGCTGCAGCGAGCAGAAAATCGACCGAGAGTCTGCCTGTGCCCTGATCGGCTGGTCACGGCTCTAAACAAGATGCAAGAGCCTTGGGGCTACTTGGCTGTCATTAAAATGGTGTGGATGGAAGGAAAAGTCTAATTGACTGAACAACAGCCTGCACTGTGTAATTAAACTAATTGTGGCTCTACCTGCATGGGTCAGAAGCGATTTGTGTGGCTGTTAAGGCACTGAAAAATAAGAGGTGGAGATGTGTGTGAAAGTATTTCTTACACACGTTTCCATAGGTCATTTTGCTGTTTCAGTTCAGGCAATTTTATGCCCTCGAAATTTTTGGTTTCTGTCAAATTTGAGGAGATTGTTAATATTTCATGCTGAAGCAGGGAAAAGTAAAAAGGTCACTGTTGTTAGCAGTTTCAGGTGGCAGCGTTTCAAGTGGAGGTAATACTTTTTCAGTGCTATTTTCTTATTTGAAGCAAAATCCCTCAAAAAAGAGAAGGGGAAGGACTGTTTTCCAAAATGTGTTTCAGCCTGGCTCTGCACCCACGGAGGGCGTTGGCAATTGTTTTTATTGACTTGAGGAGGAGAAGACCAGGCCTTCTGCACAACCCAGTGAAACACAACTCACTCCTTTGCTGCCAGGGATTTATGGTGCTAGCTTTCACTGATTGCTTTGAAAGTCCTGGCTTCAGAATATGGTGTATTTGGAAGAAGCCGAATGAGAAACCTGCTGTAGTGTCATGTTTGAACTCTTTGACCTTGTTTTCAAGTCCTTGTGAAGCAGAGCCCACCTCCAGCTTGTAGCTCTGCTCTTATTGATTATCATTTTGAGTCCTTCAGGCATTTTACTGTGCCCAAAGCGCCGTGTGCTTTTCAGAACAAATAATCTGACATGACAGCTGCTGAACTGACTCTGCTCTCTCTAGGCTGTCAGCACAGGACAGAGCCTGTGCTTGTGCTGGAGGAGACCTACATAGATAAGTGGAGAGGCTGGTGCATTTTGTTGCAGTAGGACCACTTGTCTAGCGTGTGAGCTGGTGTCTAAACACAGGAGTCAAACACTTAGCCTGGAGCAACCGATGCCTGTATTTTTCCTGGTCAAGGCTATATGTCTGGGGAAGGACATGGCACAGCCGGGCTGTGGGACATGCATGAGCTCTTCTGCCCTAATCATCCATCACTGTAAGAGACAGGACAGTAGGTGAGATGAATCTTCAGTGGGTCCTCTTGACTGTTTTTCAGTTTCTTGACTGTGGAGAAACTTCTGTAAATATAGCTTATTCTTTCTGAGCTGGAGATGAAGGACCTCACTTCTCAGGTAAGAAGAAATTGCCAGTATGGTCTGCTGCTCCTCTATCATCCTACCCCAAGAATATGAAATACGAGGTGTGGTTATCTGGCTGCAGTATCTCTCCAGAATTGTGGCAACAGGAACAGAGAAAAGAGCACAGGATATATACATACTTTTTTAAGATAGCAGCTTACCTACTGTTTTTTGTCTCAGGAAAAAAAAAGTCAAAATGGCTTCTGCTGACTCTAATTTGTTATGTCTCCAGGCATAGCTAATTATCCTAACTTAGCCCAGCTCTGAATTCTTCCCAGGGGTTTTCATGCTATTTCTTCTGTTTTGATTTATAAATTGTCTTTATTTTACTTTCCTCCTACATGTTCTTTAAAATCCTTTTGCTCCCTGCCTTACTGAGGAGCCAGGAGCTGGTATGACAATGCTATCACAAGGTGTAGGACAGAAATGGGATCTATTCACCAAAGCCTTTGCTCTGGGTATCCTGCAATACTTCTGGCATCTGTCTCATGGGCTCTGTGGAATGGACTCTTCTCCCCAGAAAGCATTTTCATGCTGCCACTTACTGCTGGACTGACCTGCAATCATCCTTGGGCTAGAGGAGTTGTGAGGCTCAGTGTGGGCTCCATAGCTCAGAGGGTTTGGTTACAGCCTTCATCCCACAGCAAAGAGATTTCTGGCTTCTCCACTGACTTACCACAATGAATTGCAGGGGGCTTTTCTCTGATTCAGCCATTCCCTTCACAGTTCATACAGTTTTCCTAATCTCAGCCGTGAATTCTGTGGGGGAAGGAAATCCATCTGCTGTAATCATGGAGTACCCCTTGTAGTAAGCAGAAGTCAATACTGACATTGAGCCTGGACTTGGGAGACCATCTCTGTCCAGGACACTTCAGAAACTCTAATTAATGAGTCCTCCAAACATCCCATGGGATAAATGGGTACTGTTTACTTAGGAGACAAGACTGTTGATAGTAAGAAGCTCAAGCAAAGCCGACTTTAACTGCTAGAGCAGGACATATCTTCACAGTGTTGCTGTGTTTTATGTTATATCATCTTGTTTTTTCTTTTTTTTTCCTTTCTTCTTCTGTCTCTCTTTTTTATTTGTTTTGTGTGGGGGAGTGGTCTTTGAGGGGGGGTTGTTTGGTTTACTTTGCTTTGCTTTGCTTTTGGTGGGGTTTTTTGTTGTTTTTGTTTTCCAATATGTATGTCTGGGAATGTTTTTGTCAACAGACTTCTCTGGGAGACTGTAGTACTAGTCACCCTCATGGTCCCTGGTGGAGGACCATGCCAGTCCCCTGTCTTTTGTTCTGGCTGAGGGCAGATGCTGAGGGGAGAGGATACAAACAGGAAAAGTAGGAAGTGTTATTTCCTTGGAAGAGTCCCTCAACCTCCAATAACTTACAGCTCAGGGTTTTCCTGAACTGCAGTGGTAGATCCTGGTGGATTTTTCCTTCCATTATTTTTCCCCTTAATTTCCTTTTTGAAGTCATGTAAACTCTCAGCATCCGTCATGTTCTGCAGTGGAGAGTCTTACTCAATAGCTGCACATTTTGTGAAATATCCCCTTTTGACCTCTTTGAACCTACCACCCACTGTCTTGGTTCAATCTCTTGTGGTTCTTATGTCAGAAATGGTGAATACTCATATTCTATGACACTGATACATTTATAGGCCCCTGTCAGTTACCTCTTCCACAGGACAATGGACCCTATCTCTTTTAGCATCTTGTGGCGTGGAAGATGCTCCACACTTTTAAGCATCCTTTTGTCTCTCCTCCATGTCTTTTTCTGACTTTGCAATAGCTTCTGCAACAGGAAGGGAGAACTGCACTTAGTTTTCAAGACACAAGTGCAATATTGTTTTAGACACAGGTCTAAATAACACAGCCTGCTCTTGCTCTCTTTCTGAATTGTTTTGGTGTGAGGGTTATGTACTCCTTAGGGCACGCCATCTCTCACATGGCTCCGTGGCTGATGCACTCAGTTTTGGGACCCAGACCTGGGAGATGTGGCACCTCCACCATGCCCCTTTCCACTGTCACTCAGACATGCCTGGACTGCTCTATGCTGGATCATCCACAGGCTGTGATTTCTCTGCATGTGTACTGGTCCAGGAGCTTTCCCAGAGCACTGGGATGAGAAGGAGATAAGATGAGAGTTGAAGGGTTTGTTATGTACTGGTAACAACCAGGTCTGAGTCTGTTGTTAGCAATCTATATGGGCACAACTCCTCAGAAGGGCAGCTTCGAGCAAGGCAAAATTCCTTCTCTCCGGAGAAAACAGGGAGGCATGGATAGGCTGCACTGATGTGCACCAGTCTACCCAGTGAGTCCGCCTCAGAGCCAGCAAGACCCTCCCCTAAGTCCACTACACTGACACAGGATTCTTTCTCTCTCATCAGGAGCTTTGCCCAGTGCTTCCCATTTCATCCGTGCTCGCCCAAGGCAGAAGCTGCCCTTCCTGCTCCTCTGGCCCCTCGGCAAGAGTGGCCACACATCTGAGTCACCATGGGCAAGATGGACAACCCCTCTGTGGAGCTGAACTCTCCCTCCGAGGTGAAGCAGGCAGCCCTGGAGGAGCCAGAGCCCATCACCCCTGAGGTTGTGAGCACTAAGAAGAAGAAGAAGGAGCTCCCAGATAGAGGTTCCTGGAAGGGGAAATTTGACTTCTTGCTGTCCTGTGTGGGCTATGCTATCGGTCTGGGCAACGTCTGGCGCTTCCCTTATCTCTGTGGCAAGAATGGAGGAGGTAAGAGAAACACACCATGCCTGCATCCATTCCTGAGCAGCCTTGTCCCTGAACAGGCTTTGGTTTGGTGTGTCTGGGTTGATCCTCCAGCTGAGAGCTCTCCCTCATGATGTGAGTTATTAACTTGTCAGGAAACTAGTTCTCAGATCTGTGGGCTTAACTAGCAAGTGCAAGCTGGGAAGAAGCCGTACAAAGAAATGAAACAAGAAGTTTGAGTTCTGTCAAGCTTTTGCAATCCAGATTTGCAGGGCTACAGAAAAGACTGTCCTCATTTATTTACAAGGAGGACTATGCACATAGGCACCCAGCTGGATGCTGGGGCGCTCCCAGGGAAACCTGCTAATGGTGAGGTTCTCCTCAACCTAGTGTATTCTCAAGGGATAACAGTTTTTCATGTGAGTTTGGATCACATGTCTAAGGAGTTCTGATTAGAAGCTTTGCATGGATCATAGCAGGGCTGTGTAGACATATATACAAACAAGTGTACTTATGTACATGTACACACAATGACGTGTCATCATCTATGGAAGGAAATGAGCTTTGACTTACTAGAGTGCTGCGAGAAGGGTCACAGTTATTATCTCCATCCTAAGGCCTGGAAAACAGAGGCATAAGACAAGAAGGAAGCTGGCAAAGGATGCAGATCCCACTTACAGTGGGATGTAGCTGGTAGCAGTGCCCTCTTCTGCAGACAGCTAACACCAGCTACTTTTTATTCTCTTTATTATTGCACCACTACATCCTTTCCTTACCATCATCTGCTGAGGCTTTGCCAAACCATTGGAAGGCTAGAGAAAGGCAGGCAGATGGGGAAACACTGCTGGGCTAGGAATCAAGAGATCTGGCTCATCAGCTCCCTGCCCAGCTACAGACTTTCTGCATGTCTTGGATCAAGTCAGAAAATAAATTCCTGTGCCTCAGCTCCCCTCTAAAATAGTGCTATTTCTTCAGCCTTGCCAGGGAGATGCTTTTTGGGAGGATAGTATGGGCTGGTGTTAGTAGAAAAGAGGCTCTTTCTTCTCCTCACTCCATGCCCAGCTCTCCTATCGTTTGTGCCTGTTACCAAAATAACCTTCCTCCTGCACCTTGAAGAGCTGCTCACCTCCTTGAACCATTTCTCAGACTTCCCGCACAACTCCAAACCCCTTTTCCTCCCCTTTAAGGCTGTATATATAGTTTTAGTATCACCTGCTGCTCTTCCCACATGGCTGTTTGCCTCCCTCTTAGCTCTTCCCTGCCCAGAGTCGCTGTCCTTGGTGCCACATTCATTCATGCTGCTCTGAGGGTTTCTCGTGCTTCTTCTCCATGTCGTTTTTATTTTCCTTTTGCCTTTGATTCTCATGACTCAAATCCACTTCTACTGTCCATGTTGCAGGTAGTGTAGGATGCTCTTCTCCTCCAACCCTGGAAAAGAGGAGAAGGGTCTGCTTCTAGGACTGCTCCCTGAAGCAGTCTGTCCATGTAACTCCATGGCATTTAAGGGTATCTTGGCTCTTTCTCTGAAGCATGTGAAGTGAGTTCCAGCAGGAGATCAGACATTTATCAATTTTGACAAGAAGATTTTAATGGAGTATGTTGTTTTCATAGAAGTATAGAATCATAGGATGATTCGAGTTGGAAGGGATGCTAAAGATCATAGAATCATAGGTTGGAAGGGACCTTAAAGATCATATAGTTCCCACCTATCTGCCAAGGGCAGGGACACTTTTCCCTAGACCAGGTTGCTCAAAGACACATCCAACCTGGCCATGAACACTTCTAGGGATGGGACATCCACATCTTCTTTGAGTTTTGTGCAGAGGCATGAATATGCAGCTGAGCTGAGTGAGGTTTATGGCCTTCCTAGGGGAACCTGTGCCACCAATGTCAGAGCCACGGTGTGGATTTGTCACCTTTATCTAGCCACCTGACTGCCAACCCTCCTCACACAGCATTAGCCCCGTGGCTAAGTCCCAGCACCAGCCAGTATCTGCCCTGTGGCTGCTGTGTCATCTCAAATCTCACACTGGATCTGTGATGCCTATGGCTGTTTCCTCACACATAAAGGTGGGGGTGACAATACATATAATTAGATGAAGGGTGGTGTGAAGCCCTATTTATAAAATCAGCTGAGAACCTAGGACAGAGGATGCTGTGGAGGTGTGGAGCACTATTATTAGCATGAGCAGTGGCACGCAGGGTGATCTCTGCCCCGGCAGCTCCAGGCGTGCAGAGGGACCAGCCGGCTGTGAGCAGGAACGCCAGACCGAGGAAAGGCAGGGATCGGTGCCTGACCCCTCCCAAACACCCTGCCTCGCCTGCCGCTTCGTGCCGTCCGCGGCGCTCCGGATCCCTCATCCCTCTCACCCCTACCAGGTCTGGCTGTTCGCAGGCACGACTGTTCCCACAGCCGGCAATAATGAGCGGCAAGTGGAGGCTGCCGATGCTGGAGACAGGCGGGAGAGCTGACGCACGAAAGCGTCAGCGGGAGCCGATGCGAGGCAGGGTCTCACGGCATCTGATTCGCAATCGGGTGGGCACCGCCTTGGCTCTGCCCCGACGGAGGCGCCTCCGGAGCAGAGCAGACTGTGGGTGGGACTCTAATTTTAGCGTCCTGCATGTGCGCTGCTCAGAGCGCGGTCGTGTGGGCTGCTTCCATTACGCACAGGCAAATTGAACTGAATGGAAATATTGTCGTCTCACTTACCGCTGTCACGTTGCATCGGCTCACGGCTGGTTTGCTCGGCGCAGGGAGCCCAGGGCACGGCAGCCCAGCGCACGGCCCGCCCGCTACGGGGGGCAGGCTTCGCCCAAACTGATGGCTGGGCTCCCTGCTGGGCTCTGCACACAGCTGGATGTGCCCAGATGTGACTAACCCTCCAGCCTCTACACCGATTTCTAACCTCATGCATTCCTTCTGATCTCAACAGGGTTTTACCAGACCCTAAATTCACTCTAAATGCGGCTAAAAATTGTCTGTGAGATCCTGAGCTTGAATAACTTGAGAGAAAAGCAATTCTTTAAATAAGCATCATGCATTCCTCTTTTGCACACTGAGACTTGAACTAATGGCATGTAACAGCCTGTAATGCTCAACTTTTGATTCATGGGCAGTGTTCCTTGTTTAAGGATTAATTGTTATTCCTTGCTTTATGTCATTAGGAACTGGTGACTGCAGGCAGATTTGGGGCTGCTCAGTGGGTGCCAAGCACTGTATGATCCTTCCGTGCCTCCAAGAATCAGTGCTCTGAGCAGGCAGGGCAGGACCAGCACCATCACCCCTTTAACTCCATGGACTTTGGAGACAAGCTGGTATTCTCACAAGGTCACACACGACCATTTGTAGCAGGCTCAGGATCTGAACCAGACCTTTTGGCAGCTCATCCAGGGCCAGGGATTAAAGACCATTGCTTTCTCTCTGTGCCAAGGATTTAGGCAGAGGCCTGCAGACTTTAGGTACAGATTTTAGAACTGATTTCCACTCTGGCTGTACAGCACCTGGGGCTGTTACCAGTGCCCTGGATTGCAGATTTTCCAATATTCTCGAGGATTTTTGTTAGGCCAGGACAAAAGACCTGTGTCCAAAAGTTCATCTGTTGTTTTTTTTCTCAATAGTCTCATAAAACTTTCATCTACAAACCTTCCTGGCCTACTGTGCATGAAAAATGCAGGATTATCAGGGCTGTGACCAAATTTCATTAGTTGCTTGCACAGAAGCGAGGCAGGCACTTGCACTGCTGATAAACTCAGCCTCCAAACTCCACAGTGGCAGGGTGGCAGGATCCATGTCCTCCTGCATGGCTCCTAAGGGGAGTGGACCTTGCAGCCTGTCGTGGCCAGCAAGAACACGAGGGAGGATGCTGAGTGTGCAGCGCTGCTCAAAGCTTCTCTCTCCTCTTTGCCAGGCTGCTGGTGAAGCTGAGAGCCTGTGCTTCCATGCCAGCTTGTGATTCAGGCTCACGGTCATCGAGCTGCTGGCCCAGAGAGTGTTTCCTCCCCACCACCTACTGCCAGCTCCTCTTGCATGCTGCCTCCCGCAGATTCCCATGCCGGGTGCTGGCACCTGCCTCTCCCAGCTGGGCTCAGCTCCCTGCTTGGCAGGCAGGCGTCCCCAGCTGGGTGTCCCCTGAGCCAGCATCCCTGGCTGTGCCTCACTGCGTCCCTACCCTCAGAGAGCAGCTGCTGGAGCCTGACTCTGCCAGGTGCAAGCTGGGCCGCAGCTCTCCGGAGTGGCTTTGCTCTCTGGCTCCGTGTTTGCTTTCCCACTATTATCTGGAGAAGAAGACTCGTACTGACAGCTCAGCCCTTCGGCTAATGCAGTAACCAGTGCTGTCCCAAACATGGCCAGCTGCTTCTGAGCAAACTGAGTGTCCCCACTCTGTCCCCAGCCAGAGCTTGTCCTCCTCAGGGATGATGGCATGCTCCAGCACATGCATGAGAAAGGTGGAAAATGAGCTTTGTCCCAAGTCCTAAATGTCAGGATGACCTGAACATGTACAGCCTTCAAATCACACAGCAAGGCTCTCCTATTCTATTCCCTCTTCTTATAACTCAGTGCCAGTAATATCTCTAGTGAATGGCTGCACTACCTTGTTTATAGTGAAGAGATTTCCACAGGGCCATAGAGAAAAGTAATATTTTTACCAGGAATTCTAAGGGTAAAGCCTAAAACATGGATGGTAGGTATATAGCACTGTTATGAGAAAAAATACAGTCTTTGTCACAGTTTTCTTAAAAGACTGAAATAGCTATAAAAAAAGAGAACAGTGGCCAATGCTAGATATTCCTGTGCACTTTTCCCTTGAGCTGAAGAACTGGAAGCTGCTGCAGGTAAGACAGAAAGCATCAACAAGAACGTTACCAATGTCAGCGTCCAAGTTTTGGGTTTGTTGTCAGATTGGGTTTAGCACTGCCTAATAGCTAACAACAAAGTGAGACTGGCATTGCATAGCTAGTGATGCCAGTGTATATGTACACAGGATACATAAATACCCATTGTGATAGGAACAGATAAGGGTAAAGCAGTGGTGATCTCAGTGGGAGACTCATGGAACACACCAACTCCAGTTGGAAACTGTCGTCTCCAAGCAAGGCTGCTCCTCTTCACGTGGGTGCTGTGGAGCAAGAAACTGCAGCTGGAGGTATTTGCTTCATGGTAAAAGAGGGAGCTGTCTGATAACACTGCTCCTTCTTTCAGGGGCCTTCCTCATCCCCTATTTCCTGACACTGGTGTTTGCTGGGATTCCTCTTTTCCTTCTGGAAACTGCTCTGGGCCAGTATACCTCTGTCGGTGGACTGGGAGTCTGGAGATTGGCACCCATGTTTAAAGGTACTGTGTGTTTGTGAAACCAATGGCACGTAACTACAGATTTCATTAAAGGTTTGAGGAGGAAATCAGCAAATCCCTTGGGTCTGGGATGGGGTGGCAGGTGAGGGGAGTGGTTTTTCCCCTCTGTCATTATCCAACTGTCCTTGGCTCTGATGTCTGCAGTTATTAACATCACTATGCTCTGTTTGAGCAGTCTTGTGTGGTGACAAGGCATAAAGCCTCCCTATGTAGGCTTACCTTAATTGGATGGGAAAGCTGTAAAGAGGGGGCATGAACCTGTTGCCGGGCCTGGAGTAACTGTATTCTGGAAACCAGTGGTGATTTAGAAATGCCTTGAATGTGGGAAAGTGCAATTCTGCAAGGGAAGTGACCAGATCCTGTTTTCATGGGGCTCTGTCCCTAAAGAACCCATAGCAGACTGAAAGGTAGCACTGTTCTCCCTGTGCGAATGGACGGGTGAGAGACGAGAGGGAATGAGCCTCCCTTGCTGACCCCCTCACAGCGCAACTGTAGCACACCCCGGGCTGATGAGCTAATTCACTTTTTCTAGTTCTACCAAAAAACTTGCTGTGGTGCCTGTGAACTCACTCGGGTACTGGAGACCTGAACTGATGCTGCTCTCTGCCTTCATTTGCAGGAGTGGGACTGGCAGCTATGGTTCTCTCCTTCTGGCTGAACATCTATTACATTGTCATCATTGCCTGGGCTCTCTACTATCTCTTCAACTCTTTCACTGCGGTGAGTCACAGGCGTATCTGCAGCACGGCATTGGCTGTGTTCTGGGTCCTCACTCCTGCTTTGTGGGGGATGAGTGGTTTGTGCCACAAAACAGGCACTGCTGGACCCTTCCTGAAGAGGTTCATCAGCCCTGGGGGCAGTTTTGTAGTGTTGATTGGTACTGATGTTGCCTCTTAAGAGGATGGTCCTCTGGAGGGGACAGTCCCATCCCCTCTCTTAGTACTGTTCCCTGCTCACATCAGTCTTTTAAAACTCACCCTGTGTTTCTGTTGTATTTCTAGAGCTGCTCAAACCTAAGAGCTACACATTTCCATAACTGGTTTTGTTACAACGGGGTCTTTCCCAGGACTTAGTCCTGACCTTAATTAGTTCTTATTCACTCTTTTCTTGATAAATGAAATCTGGGGGATTTTGTTCTGCTGGGAAAATGATTGAGAAATCAATTAGACCTCTGCCTGTGATGTTCCCTTAGCATGTGCTTTGATGTTATGGTGTATAGTGGGTTCCTCTCCCATAGCAGGGTCTTCTACCATACAAGGTTAGAATTACTTCTTGGTATCAACTTCTTGGTAGATGAATGATTAATTTCAACCCAGAAACCGGGAAGATTTTCCTTAACATAACTCTCTGAGCAACCTGCACCCTTATAGACAACAATGACATGGTTCAAATGGGATCTTTTTAAATTTAATTTAGATACAACCATGAAATGCTGTTATGATGCTGTACATCCAGTTTTACTTTTTGTTTCAGCAAAATTTCAAATATCTATCAAGACTTTTGCTGAATTATTCTGTTTGGCATTCCCCACTGTGCTTCTACGCCCAAAACCACGTGTCACTGTAGGGTCCTGGATCTAGAACAAAATTGTAGGTTATGGATGAATAGATGCACCCTCAGAGGATTCCCAAATGAACAAAGGTCTACCCATCCCTGGGCAAGATGAGGCTTTGGTACATTCACAGACCCAGTTGCCGACAGTGCTCATATGTATGCAGACAGGTCCAAGTATTTGGCTCAAGATGTTTTCTTTTACCAGAGATAATTCTAAATTCCCAAAAGGAACCAAGGTACAAATAAAAAACCTAGGCTGATGTCGGCCCCCTGTCCCTCCTAAATTTGAGTAGGAGTATTTTGAACTATAATAGGAGCCAAGCTTCATATATAATAGGAGCCTTCTGCAGTTTCTGTCCTCTGAAATTCAGAGGAAATGGAGCAGCAACAAACTGCCCCCCAGCCTGCCCCTCCTTGTAAGAGCTGTGCAGCTCCTCTGATGCGCAAAGCACTTGTTTGAAGGGCTGCCTTTGCTTCAGTGCAGTTAGCATTTTTCAGTGAAATCATCATGTGGGTGGAGCAGCCTGGGTGGCCACCAAATGTCCCTCACTCCCTTACAAGAGCCACCCTTCTGCCAAACCAGCACGTTAGAAGGTGTTGTCTCCTGGAATGAACTGATTCAGGCGGAGCACTGAAGGCAGCACTTAAAGGCACTGATGCCACAAAACACTTAAAACGCAGATAATATTTCTAAAGAGGTTGGTGTTCGTGGATGAATAGTGATGGATACAAACATCTTCTTAGATCTTTGTTGAGATGGAGACCAAGGTCTTAGCTGCAGAGGGAAATCACCTCGTTTCACAGAATAGCTGTTCTGCATTTATCTATGTGCACTGTGCTCGGGAAAAGAGACTGTTACACATTGAGACATATCTGAGTTGCTTTTCTTGGGCTGTCTTGACCATGGCACTATGTGGCACGGGTGAGCTGCCCTGCACGCTCACAGGGCCCCTGGCACTGCAGCTTCAGCGCTCACGGTGCCAGAGCTGATCGCATTAAATCTGTAGTGGTGTGCTACCGTCACACTGCTACTACCTACAGCGTAAACACTGCCCAGGAATCCCTTTGTGCTGCTTATAATTGGGGCAGGAGACAGCATGAAACAGCTGTTATGCTTTAGATTTACTCCTGTGCTTGCGTTACATTAGTCCACTGGTCTAGTAGACAGCCCGTTAGCCCCCATTCTGAGGGCCATGTTGCTTTTTAAGCATTGGAGCTTAGTATAAATGAGAGGTAAGAAACTGTTTATTCTTTGTGCACTAAATTCCAACCACTTGTTGAGTGAAGCTAGCCAAAAGCTGTAATGGTTATAAACACAATATCCCTCGATAGCCATTTTAATTTGTAGCTATTAATTACCAACAGTTAATTGGAAATGGCTTTCTATCTGGGGAATTGCTAACATTTTATTAGAGCTACAGCACTGTCCTAATCAAGCTGTGATATTGTTTCCTGGAAAATCCTTGTCACAAATTACCATATTTTAGAAAATGGTTTCATGCTTTTGACTACAATGGCGTACCCATCTGATGGTGCTGCCCATCCTCTTGGCAAAAAAAATAATGGGGTTTCGGTTTAAAATAAGCCAAATTTCACTTCTCAATGCTGCCCTTGGGAGATACAACATTAATGACAACCCTACTGTCCTTATTCCGGTGCAGGACCTGCCGTGGCAGAACTGTGGGAATGCCTGGAACACCGACCGCTGCTTCTCCAACTACTCCCTGAATGACACCACCAACCTCACCAGCGCCGTCACCGAGTTCTGGGAGTACGTCCACAGCCTGCCTACACCAGGTTTCTCCCCCCTCACCACAGTCATACCTGCCCACCAGGATTGTGGCTGGTGCCTGTTGGCACTGTCCTTGGATAACTTTGGCAGGAGGGTGTTACAGCCAGCCATTGGCCGTGGTGGGCATGGGGTGCACTGTGCAACCACAGGTCTGATGAACAGAGAGGATAACAGCCTCTCCACCTCTCTTCTCCTCCCTTTATCCCATCACGATGAACCTCAGGTCTCTTTAGGGTTTTGTGGGTTCTCATGCTTGTCTGCACCTGGCCCTTCACCCTCTATCCCCCCCCGGGATCTCCAATCCCTCTGCCCCCAAGGGTTGGACTTCCCTCTAACGCAAAGTCTCCCATCCCTAGGAGGAACATGCACCAGATGTCGGGGGGCCTGGGGGAGCCCGGCTCCGTCCGCTGGCCCCTGGCTGGCACACTGGCCCTGGCCTGGCTGCTGGTCTACTTCTCCATCTGGAAGGGTGTGGAGTGGACAGGCAAGGTACGGTGTGAGGACCGGGTGCTTCAGTGCTGCCTCTCATTGCTCCACTCAGGTCTCGGCTGTCGAAATGTCCTCCAGACTCAATTTTATTTAAGTGCCTATAACTAAGGTTATGGTGTTTCGAGGCAGAATCATAGTAGATGCTATTAAATTCCTGACATTTTACCTTTCACAGTTGTAAAAATTGCTGCCGTGTTTATGGTAATTTTCGTTCTAAGTGTAGAGAATAGCTCTTCCCTGTAAAGTCACGGGTCTCAGCGCTCAGTCCTTTGGGGAAGAGGCTTGTGAAGATGCTTTCAGAGATTACTTATATTTCCCACCTTGGGACAGCCTTTTGAGAGAGTAAAGCCTCTTCTCGTCTCCCCTTTTGAAAATCACGGTCTCTTAAAATGCTTTTGGTGGAAAAAGCCCTCACCATCTCGTTTGAAAATTTCCCTGCTGCCCTTTCAGTATTGGTGGGAGACCTTCAGATGAGAAGCACATTGTTATTCACTGTGTAGCATTTCAGGCTAGCACAGCAGAAAGGTAATTGCTTAGTTTAGTGAAAACGTGATGCTGAGACACTGGGATATGTTATTTAGAGGACAGCGTGGTGCAGCAGGACAATATTATGAAAGGAATAATCTAGAGGAGAGATCAGAAATAAGTGCTTCAGGGGTAGGTCACCTAAGCTGTTAACTTCCCCAGTGGCTCCCAAACAGGTTTTAGCCACACAACCACTGCAAAGCCATGGTGATTCCTGGTATGGACCCTCTGATGAGGGATGTCATGTACTTGTGAGTCCCTGAAATAGTACTGAGAAGAAAGTGGTGGAAATCAAGACAACTCTTGTTGCTTGATGCATAGGTCTAGAGAAACATCGGCTTTAGCTCTGCAAAATAAGGATGTGATGACTTAAAGGGATTACTTTTCTGAACTAAATTTATCCTCGTGCAATTCCCTTGTCTTTGGGCATTTCATCCAGACTTCAGCATGCTACTTTTATGATTAGTGTGTCTTTGCATATCATTGGTAGGGAGAAACCTCAGACAGACAGAAATGTTACTAGCATGGGAATGGGAGGCAGCAAATGCAAGGAAATTCTGCTGAAAGTGGCTGTGCTTGGGGAGCCTGTCCCCCTCACGGGGGGACATGCCACATGCAATGACACTGTGGGCAGGAAAGCTCCTGGGCACTGGTGGGCTGAGGGTTTCTCTACCATGGGGTCTTTTTCAGGTCGTGTATTTCTCAGCCACCTACCCCTACTTCATGCTTTTCATCCTCTTATTCCGTGGAGTCACTCTGCCGGGAGCCAAGGAGGGGATCCTCTTCTACCTCACGCCTGACTTCAGAAAGCTCTCCGACTCTGAGGTTCGTAGCCTAGTGACGAAAGCTCCTATCTCCCAGTTGTCTCTGCATTAGTCTTCCAAAGGCACTTCCCTTGAATATTTTAAGTATTTAAAAAAATCCTGCAACAGTTCCTCGTTCAAAGTCACGACCCTTGCAGGCTAAGACAAAGCTGCACTGAGCTGCTGCAGGAGACGCAGCTGCAGCATGGGGTCCCTCCCTCTCCTGGTTCTTTCTCCACAGGTCTGGATGGATGCAGCCACACAGATCTTCTTCTCTTATGGCCTGGGGCTGGGGTCCCTGATTGCTCTGGGGAGCTACAACACTTTCCACAACAATGTCTACAGGTCGGTTTTTTCTTTCCCAGCCTCCTGCATGGCAGGGAGTGCTCAGAGTGAGGTAGAGGGTCGTGGTGAGTCTGGGGTGTCTGACCTCCACTATCCCCTTACTGCCAACATGCAGCCCAGGGAACACATTGTGATCACTACAGAGGGGCTCCCCTGCCTGCAGGACATTTCATATCTCACCTGTACTACCTCTCCAGGGCATGGACCTGCTCTCAGCAGGGCTTGGTCTTTTATTTACCCCACTCTCTGCTCTTGGCCTCTTGGTAGGGACCTGCAGGTGGTTTCTTTTCCTTCTTTCTCTCTTCCAGAGACTCCATTATTGTCTGTTGTATAAACTCCACTACAAGTGTATTTGCTGGATTTGTTATTTTCTCCATCATTGGCTTCATGTCACACATCACAAAGAAGTCAGTCTCAGAGCTGGCCTCCTCAGGTAAGCAGAAACGCAGTTCAAATGCAACAGTAACCTGTGAGAGCAATTTTTCTGTGAGCATGGGATGCTCCCAGGCCTTTCCAGACTGGGACCCAGGTGCTCTTTGAGCACCCTCCCACCAAGATATGTCTAAGGCACCTGTGGCTGATGTTGGTCACACCCTGGCTGCAAGGGGCGTCTCTGTCTGCTTTTAGTGTTCTTCTCCTTTTAGTGCTGAACTTTCATGTGATTTTGCTGTAAGGAAATATTTAGGCCATTTGCTGTCTGAAACCTTCCTGCAGAGAATAGATGCTACCTATGTTTTCAGCAGGCATGATGAAAATTTGGAGTCCCTTTTTCATGCGCAATCTTGAAACTGATCTCAGAATAATTTTTTAACCAAGATGGGACTGTGTCTTTTTACGCAAAGACATATTTTGAAATTGCTGTCTTCCCAGAGAAAGCTTTTATCTCAAGAAACAGCATTGTGTGATGGGAAAAAAAAAAAAGCACCGAGAAAGTTATAACCAGCTCCGATTTTTGTAGCAAATGCTCCAGCTCCATTTGGTTGCAATAATTTGATGACCTTCTTGCTTGCAGGACTTGTTTTTCCAGTCATTCCTGCCTCCCTGTCCTACCCCTGTGCACCCCACTGGGTTGGTGTGTCACGGACCAAAGCTCAGGTGTTCCTAGCTCCTATATCAAATACCCACAAGTCTTGGCTGGGACTGTCATCTCTCTGTTCAACCATGGCCCTTAGCTCAGACTTCCCATCAAATGCTTTATAAACATGCTCTCACCCCTCTTTCCATTACCACAGGCCCCGGACTGGCTTTCCTCGCCTACCCACAGGTTGTCACGCAGCTGCCCCTGTCACCTCTCTGGTCAGTCCTCTTCTTCTCCATGCTGATGATGTTGGGTCTGGATAGTCAGGTGAGACAACCCAGGTACAAGATGGGATAAGATACAAAAATATCTTCAGATATGATGGTGGTGTCCCCTCCTGCACCTCTGGACAGTGCTGAGCAGGGTGGTTTTTTAACTCTTAGTGGTGAAATGCAGCTTCATGAAACAAAACCTCCTGTGTGGACATCACCTTTGTGCTCTTGCCTCATGTAGACATATATTGCAAGTGTGATGGGATCTGACAACTTCCCAATGCACCAGTCCTTGTCCTACTGCCCATTAAAAATAAGAGCAATGACCAGTTTCCAGCAGCCCAGCAGAACCAGTCAGCCCTATAAGATATTCACCACTTCCCTGTAGAAGGAGAGGATCTTTGGCAAGCTTTTCTCTGTTCACACCAATTTTTGACCCTGTGGCCAAGTACCAGTGCTGCTGAGCGCACACAGTTGCCCCCACCTTGCTGGGTCACCCTGGCAGCTGAGCCTCACAGGCTCTAAGCAGAGCTAGTGGGAAACTAGTCCTGCCAAAATACTTTGCACCACAGGAAAAGGGAAAAAAGATTTCTTTCAAGTAATAACTTCTTTGTTGTTGTAGGACATGACTCCCCCCACTCCCAATATAGGTACATGAAATAAGGGAAATCAGTATGAACTATTTCATTTCATGCCTGCGTGACAGTAGTTTGTGGTCATCTCAGCTCTCTTAGTGTTCTGTGAGAAGCTTGGATGCTTGGAATTTTCTGTCACCTTGACCAAACTGCATTTCCTGTGGGGCGAGAGAATGTCATTACTTCAGCTTTTCTTCACAGCTTAGGGTAGAAGGTCTCCATGTTCCCTACTCCCAGGAGCCAGAGCCAGCATCTTTGCACAAGGTACTGCTGTCCAGCCAGACCCAGGGCTCTGGTGCAGCATCAACAGGTTCTGCTGAGAAAAGCAGTAACGCAGGATTTGAACTGGAACTCCCTCCAAGTGTGAGGACAGTGGTTTGATGCACTGTTTTGGCATTGGTGTGGATGACAAAAGTGATCCTGAGCAGAGCTGCAGCTCCCTGGCTCGTAGGTGAGCAGGAATAGATTCTGGCAGAAGGAAGGAATCATGCCTTGGGAAAGGCTGGTGCCTGGGTGGCTTTGCCATCAGGTGAGTCTTACTTGAGGGGGAAGCAGCTGGATGTAGCAAAAGGTCTCTACCCTGCCCCCTCAGAGCCCTCACAAAACAAACAAAAAAACCACCATTATCTCTGTGTTTTTACAAGTGGTGATACTTTTTTCTGATAAATCAGCTTAAAAGTAGCTACCCAGTGAAGCAGTGAACTGCAGTGTGCCTCCCTATTCAGTGCATCAAAATCAAAGGTTCCTGCAAAAGCCTGCACCTGGCCTGTCCCATCCTCCCTTGTGCCCACGTGCTCTTCCCTTGCAGCACAAACCACCAGTACAAAATGGATGCTCTCCTGGATCACAGGTAGCGTTCACAAACCCAAGCCTAGTTCAAAATCAGACTCAGACCTATTCCTGAAATGTCACACCTGGTTTCCAGGAAAATCAAATCAACTAAATCTGTTTTTCAATGATGGCACACTCTCATAAACCCATTATAAAGCTCATGTCTGCATTACTACAGACATTATTTAGCAAAAAAAGAAATGAAAATAAGAACTAAATATTCTGAAAGAAGCTACATTTACAGAAAAAAAAATTATCTCCTTGGATTATTCACTCAGAGCCGGTAAATAGTTCAAGGCATGACAATAAGCCCTCTAAGCATTCTGTGGAATTTATTTGCTGCATTTACTTCTGAAATACCCCTTGAAATTCTCCATGTTCCTTCTGACAGCCAGTCCTGGAGGGCAGTCTGTGGGGGGCTATCATCGCCTGAAGGAGAAGGCTGGGCAGAAATGAAGCATCAAAAGGAAAACAAGCTCTTAAAAAGCACAGCTAAATACATGTGAAATAGCTTTCTGTCTGCATGCTGGAGCTCTGATTCATTCAAACACACCAGCAAAGGCATGGTAGCTTGTGCATATAAAACAAGTAACACAGGCTGCAACAATGCCTGCAATTCCACGTGCATTTTGAAGCATTCATCTAAAAAAACAAGAAAAGGAAAAAAAAAAAGAAAAAGAAAAGATGGTTTTGCTATGTGCTGATTTCATATCCTTTGTGGTATTTGCAGATGGGGAGCAGGCATTTTTCATTTGGGTCAGCAGCCCAGTCCATGAGGCGCAGCAGGGCCATAGGGCATTTCTTGCACCCTGCACCCCCAGGGCTGCTGGGCTGACGCTGCCCCTTGTCACCAGCAGGGCACGGCTCTGTAGGCACGGCAGAGGCGCTCGGAAGCCCAGCTAGTGAAGGGAGGTCGGGCTGAGATCTGTGTTTGCAGTGCAGCAACAAGCTCCAGCCCTTTAGTGACGGTGGGAGTAGGTCTGGCGAGTCACATCTGCCTCTTTCTGCCAGGGTGCTCATCTCATCTGCAGGTCCTTGAATGGGATGAGTGACCTACATGGATGGACACACACCTCCCTCCTGTGCCCCCACTTGCTGCTCATGTGCCTTAATGTTCACTCTGCTCTCATCCATCCGGGCTTTACTCCTCTTGCGTCTAGACCCTCTTGTGTAATATGCTAATGCTTTCTTTTAACCTACCAGTTTCCAGGTCAGGCATTCATTCCTCAAGGGAGCTTGCAGGCCTTGTGACTGCAAGCCTGCGTCTGTCCCATGTGAGGCCTCCTCTCACGGGTTATTCATGAGGATTTCCAGCTGCTGGCAGTGAGACTGCTCGTGGATCTCTGGCTGCACATCTGTGGTCAAACTCCCCACACATCCTTGGGTCCCAGTCAGGGTGGTCTGTTTGACCAAGGAGGGAATAGCAAGCCCTTGACACTGGGAGAGGGTGGGAGAGGGAGTCTCCTGCAGACTGAGGTGCCATCTATACTGACTCTCAAGTCCAGGTTATCAAACCCATTATCCTTGTGTAATGATTAAGCTCAAAGGGGAAAAAGCAAAAGAGCTAAGTTAATGGCAGTAAAATGCTTAGGAAAGAGGCAATGTCATGGGGTGAGGCATGAGGAAGAACAGAATATATGCTAAAAATTATGTCTGGAGGAAGTTGGTGGGAAAAGCAGAGTTTTTTGGGAAGCCGACTGAAGTGGCAAGGACAGGAGGCACCCCAATGCCCAGATCCTCATCAATCCTGAAAGCAGCATACTTTCACTCAGATGAAATGCCTACTTATCTCGTGTGAGGAGCTAAGGTTTGGTATGCAGGCCTGGAAAAGTGGATCCCAGGCCAGCCAGGGAGCCACAGTCCACAGGGCCGGAAAGGTGAGCCTTCTCCATGCTGCATCCCTTCTGAAACCTGAGGCTGGCATGAGGCAGTTTTCAGTAAATGATATGAAGATTGTTGCCTGTTTTATGGCTAGAAAAAGCAGTATACTACCATTTGTTTCACCACCCTGTCCATTACACAGCAGCTTGATTTTGATAGGAGACAAAGAGATTTCAACTCACTTTGTAACCCTGTTTCTCATCACCCGCCTCCCTCTATTGCCCTCTATGCTTTCCCTGACGTGATCCTTCTTCCTGCACCAAAGAGCTGTCAGTTTTACTCCATCCCATTATCTGAGGCATCATTTTCTTCACTCCTTCTCTGGTGGACACCACCCTCTGCCCCTGACCACCCATGGCCCCTCTCCATTTCCCTCTCTGATCTCGCATCTCCTGGCCCTGACCATGGCTCTGGCAGTGCCTGGCCATGCATCCACATGGAAAGAATCACTTTTGACAGTGTTTTTTTTGTCATGCTATCTCTTCACACTGTGGTGCCAGCTCAGTCCTGACTCTTTCAGACAACAAACCAGGTGGGATGGGGTGAAGAGCTCACTGTCTATGAGTATAAAGGCAGCTTAACCCATGCGTGAATGGCAAAAGGTGCTTTAATGGCACTTGTGTCCAGCATAAAAGGCTTAGCTCATTAAACATTCAAGCTGAAGCCGCTGAGCTTTGACACTTTGGGAATACTGATTTTCCGTGAGGATATAAAACCCTGGACAGACACATTGCCCTTTGCCTTGCTCTGGCCCACATGGAAGCCAGCCCCAGCAGCCAGCAGTGTGCAAGCTCTTCCAAAATCCCTGCCCAGCTGTAGGCATGGCTCAGGCTCCCTGCTTTTCTTCCATACATCTTTCCAGCCCTCTGCTGCTCTTTTTAGTCCATATACCTCCACCTGCACTCTAGGGGTTCTTTTCTTCCCAGGGACAGGGAGGTCCCTGATTCCCAAGAGTGATGGAACCTCTTTCACTTTCATTGCATGGGCTTTTACATTTGCTCAGGGTGACCAGAGAAGCCAGGAATTTGCTGCTATCATTAATTCCCAGGGTTTCTGCTAGAGGCATGATGTGCTCTCTGAGAGCTGTATGTTACCTGTAGTTTCTGGGAGCGAGATACAAAAGTGAATCTCATGATTTATCAGGAAATAGGAGGAAAGGATGCACTTCACATATATATGGTCAAACTGTCCTCGTGCCAGAGGGTGGGACTAGCAGGAAAACTGATTTGAAGGTAACACTCACAGGGAATGTGTTGTGTAGCACACAACATATACTGTGCTTTATGTAGTGCTTCACAAGCCATCCAGGTGTTTCCATCTCTAGAAAGATGATATGCTGTGAGGATGGGCTTTCAATGTGCCCCATGCATTTAATGTAGTGTGCTTGAAAAAGGACTGGGTAGTCAGAGGTGTCGTAGTTATTCACACGCATATGAGATTGGGCAGTGGGTCATGCAGCTCCTTATTGAGTGTTTTAGATCACTGAACAGCACAAATGTTCTCTTGTGTGTTCCTGTAGGCTGGGAAGAGCACACATGGGAAGGGAAGAGCAAGCAAGGTCCAGCATGTGTCCCAGACACACAGCTGTGACACAGAGCCTGGCAGTGTGGGGGAGCAGGGCAGTGGAGGGGAGGCCTCAGAGAGTTTGTGGGAAGAAAGGAGAGGCTTTTCACAGGAGCAAAAGACAGGGATTTATCTCAGCTATTTTTAAGTATTTAACTTCAGTGCTTTTAGCTCCATCTCTATTCAGTGAAAGTCTGCAGAGAGTTCTTAAATCAATGAGGTTCTCTGCACTGAAGTTAAATGTGGGTGGGAGCAATGTCAGGCTACTTATGTATATGTCCTTGGTGTATACTTTTTCTCATAGTTCTGCACGGTGGAAGGGTTCATTACAGCCCTGGTGGATGAGTATCCTCATCTCCTAAGAGCCAGGAAGAAGATCTTCATCGCAGTGGTCTGTTTCATCTCTTATCTCATTGGATTCTCCAACATCACCCAGGTACAGACAGCCGTGCTTGTGCCTCCATTCATAACACCTTTCTAGTCACTTTGGCATAGCACAGCAACACCAAAAACTTTGGAAGAAGTGACAGCATTTCTCCTAATGGTGAATAAAAGGGTTTGCTCATCACTGCTACATCTCAAGTTACTTAGAATGCCTCCATAATTTTTTACCATTGTCCTGTTGTCAGTCTGTCTTGGTATTTTGCTATTTGCAATAAGGGCTCAAGCCAACAGAGCCCAAGCTGGGGGAGTGCTTGCTGCAAAGGGTTAAGATAACATAAAGAAAACCAGTCTGCTGGGGCCCTGAACTTCTGGGACTGAAGCCAAGGTTCACATGAGGGATGGTGAGGGCTGAGTGATCTGGAGACCATTTGTGGACCACTGAAGGTTCATGAGGAGGCAAGGCAAAACTCCTGGGAAGGGCAGAGCAGACTAAATTCAGCGACTCCATCTAAAGGGGAGAAATGTAAGAGATCCTAGTGAATTACTAGTTTTCTTCTCACCCTTGGCTATGCCTGAACAGATTGGCTAATTGTCTGCAAGATCACATCAGTTTTGCTGCTGGGAACCAGACTCAAGTAGAAACATTGCAACACTGGCTCTACTGTCCAAGGAAATTAACATTAAAGCCAACAGACACAGACAGAAGCAATCGAAGCTGCTGGCTGATATTGTCGACCAAAATCTACAACTCCTTAACTCTGGTTTTGTCTCTTCAGGGTGGCATTTATGTCTTCAAGCTGTTTGATTACTACTCAGCCAGTGGCATGTGTCTTCTCTTTCTTGTCTTCTTTGAGACCATCTCAATCTCTTGGTGTTATGGTAAGCACAGAACACCTCGTTCCTTTGTTTCCTCCATGGGCACAGTGAGTTATTTCAAAAGCCTCGCACAGTGAAGCCAATGACAATTTTGCAACTGAAAATAGCTTAGACTGATAACCCCAGAAAATCAGGAGTGGAAGGCTGTCATCTCGCTTCTCCAGCCCATCACAAAGACCTCTGCACAAGCTGACAGATGCCTAGGGTACTTCACTCTGGGCCTTCAAGGGGACAGCAGGAACATGGAAGCTGTTAGCAGGAATTTGCTTTTGTGTCCCAGTACCCCATCCCCTCCAGAAAATGAGTCTCTCATGCCTCTTGCTGTGACTGGCCTGTGCTGTGTCATGAGATGTGTTGACCATGGTGCTGAGATGGGATGTTTTTTTCAATGCTCATTTCTTCTTGTAGGTGTGAACAGGTTTTACAGGAACATCGAAGAAATGATTGGCTACAAGCCTTGCATCTGGTGGAAGATCTGCTGGGCCTTCTTCACACCTCTTGTCTGCCTGGTAAGACCTGGGGCATCCTATCTGCAGGTGTGGGTCAAGAAGGGCCCCTCAGTTTGGATGGACTGTAGGGGAAACACTATATTCTCCACCCAGTATAGGGCTGGTGCAAGGTGGTCCCAGGCAGACTTGAGATGAGCAAAGTGATACAGGAGCCTCTTTCACTCTGCCTGCTAGAAATCACCCATAAGAAAAGTTCTAGGTGACTGTTTTAATTTAAATGAGGCCATCAGTTCTTCATTCTTCTTTCTGAGATGCCAGAAGATAAGCAAAATAATTTACTGCTTTAAAAAGCTATTATTGGTTCTGGTGAAGGCTCTTAGCTACTCTAGCTCCAGCTTCAGCCCCTGACAGGCTTGTCAGAGCAAAAGCTATCAGCAAATGCAGGATAATTGACTGTAGAGCAATTTGGCCTTTGCTGATTCTTGCCCTTCCAGCAGAAGTAGTGCAGGGAATGGCAGGAAAAGGCCAATGACAGGAAGATGAAGACTCCTGAGGCCAGCTGTGAGGATGCTATTAACTTGCTTAGGAACCAGTGTGGGGGCACTGCTTGTCTAAGTAGCCTAGTGAAGAAGAAAATCAGGGGTATTCCAGTTCCGGCTTTTTACATGGGATAAGGAGAATTTATTTCAGATTACCAGTTGATGGGCTGAAAGACTCTAGACTAGTTTAAAGAGTTGTTCAGTTGCTCTAAGACTGCTGGGAGCTAAGAGGATAATGAAGGAAAGAATTTATGGACTCTGATTTTGCATGCCTTCACCTGCATTGGCTGGTGCTCTTTTCCCAGGGTGTGTTCTTCTTCAGTGTGGTGGAAATGACCCCTCTGACATTGGGAAAATACGTCTATCCTGCATGGGGGCAAGGCCTTGGTTGGCTTATGGCTTTGTCCTCCATGGTACTGATTCCAGGATACATGCTGTACTCTTTCTTCACCTCAAAGGGGACTCTCCGGCAGGTATGAACAGCTTTACCACTCCTCTCTGCTCAGGGTAGGTGTGTCTGGCTGTGGCTGGCCATGTAGGCAGACCTTCAGGTAGTCTAAGCTTCGGTCTGTTGTTCCTCACTGAGATTTGTGTTGTCACCATCACAAAAAGGGAGCCCTCGCCCCTGGAATATCCCTTTGGTGCAGGCCACTGGAGCCCTGGAAGAGACTGGGAAGAAATCTTTGAGGTTTCTTAACCCAAAGGAACCCAGGTTCCTGACGGTCCCTGGCTGTGAGCATGGTTACTTGGCAATTCTCAGCAGAGAGATCAGCATCCTCCAAGCGTGGATCTTGAAGTGTCTCGGGCTGGGACCTGCTACCAACAGAGACAAGTACAGTGGTCGTTTGCCATGCACTTTGCAAAGTGCACTCAGTGACTGAGGGGTTAAGAAGCAAGGACAACTTTTATCCAGGACCCACAGTACCCACTAGTCTTGTTTAAAACGTTTTCTTTAGTAATTTGAGCAGGGTTTTATGTAGCAGTGAATCATGAGTCTGTATGTCATACCTAGTACTTACTGTTAAGATTTTATTTACGGTGTTGACATTCAGTCTTGAGAGCACTGTGCAAAAAGTCCCTGGCTTGGTGCTGTCTGCTGCAAACTACAGATGTACGAAGTCACCCCAGAGGTGCTCATTTATGGCCTTCCCAGCCCAGCTGCAATAGCAACCAGACGCCATCTAAATCCCATGAGCTTACTTCATGGATGCTGTACTTTGAACAATGTTTAACTCAGAAATGCTTTGGCTGGAATTACTGGGCTTAGGTCAACTTCAGGCTCTCTACCTCTGAGGTCAAGTTGCAGATGGATTTGAGTTTTCTTCCTGCCAGCCTTCCATTTGGGTATGCTCTTTATGTGGGAACTAAGTGAGTCTGAAGTCTCAGATCTGCTTTCAGTTCTGGTCTCTTATCTGAAGTTTGGTTTAGGTACTTGTCATCAGTGTTGAGATCCACCTTGGCATTCCTGCAGGAGTCAAGCCAGGGTGTTGTCAAGCCACTTTGGAGATTTTGGGTTGAAGGCCAGCAGCAATTCCAGCAGTAGCTCCTTTCTCAGACACTTAGAGGGTTCCTTATCCCCTCATTATATGAGCTGGAAAAGGGGAGAAGGGAAGCCTGAAAGTACAGATATGAGTTCAACTCTTTGCCTAGTCTCAGTCCTGTTTTACTAGAGGTGGAGGAAGCACATCCCAGCATCTGGGGGAGCCCAGGCTGGCCTGTGGTCTCCCAGGAGTAGCTCAATTCCTTCTGACAAAGGGCTTGTGCTAATTATATATGTAGCAAGAGTGGCAACACCAGCACTTCCAAAGTGCTGGGGGCTCCCGTGTTGCCCCAGGGCGTGGAGAGCAGCTCATGAGCACGTTTCCACCCATCCCCTCTGCATCTTGTGCAAACCAGCAATACTAGTGAGCAGCGTGAGTGGCTGATGTGTACCCTCCCTGTGTGGCTCTTCCTCTAACTTTGCCCACACACATCATGAGACCCAGACCCCTCTCAATCGTTCATAGACCCAGGAGTGAGCAGCAGATGGCACCAGGAAGAAAGTAGGCTAATCTGTGTGTGCGTGTGTCGGTATCAAGAGAGACAGAGAGAATTTTTGGCCTCTTATATGCACAGATCCTGGATTAATTTGTAATAGAGCTGGAGCTGGAGGGAAATTAGATGCCAATCCTGAATAAAGTGGTTTTGACAGACAGGAGAGATTACAAGTCATTTTGATTCTACTGAGCATGAATGTGAGGGCAAAAAAAAAGACCATGAATGGTAGAAGCAACTCAGCTAACATTTCAGGGACTACACCCAGCAACAGCTACTTCAGTAGGAGCTTGTTTCTCTTGCTGAAAAGAGGTTCTACCTGTTTTAGTGATGTCTGTTCAGGTCAGGCTCAATCCGCCCCTGCTTCTTTTCTGCAATGCACAGCGTCAGTCTCTCCCTGACCTGCAAAAGTGATTCACTGTTCTTCAGCACTCCTGATGCTCAGTCCACACGCCTCCAGCAATGACTTGCCCCTCCATATTTTCCCAGGTTCTTTGCTTCACATTACTTGACTCTGCACTTTTCATTTGATCAGCTCGGGGTGACAGGAGTTGCTGCTGTGCAAAGGTTTGTTCAGGGGGATGGTCTCATCTACATCAAAGGCAAAGATCATAACCTTGTTAGCCTGGTGTAGTTACTTAGTAATGCTTATGGCTGGGCTTTGGAAACGAAGATTTGGACTTTGTAATCAACAGTAGTGGAAAATGGGTCCACTCTGAAGCCTGTGGCAGTGCAGCTCTCTCTTGTTCCTCCTTGCAGCTGGTCTTGTCTGGTAACAGTTTGCCTGTGTTATCAGGATGATCCCCGTATTTCAGATAAAAGGAGGAGCTGCTGTGCTGTGTGTGGCACCAAAGCAAAGGTGACTTGCAGAGGTTTTTGGATTCAATGAGTGGTGCTGGGGGAGCCACTTCTGCTGCATGAGCCATCCCCTCACCCTGTAACTAGGGTCACCTCTGAGGCTTGGGGTGAGGGGTCCCAACCCTCAGCTGCTGCCATGCCCCAGCTGTCCCACTGCCGCCACCCCCAACCCCTGGCTGACACTTTCTCCCTTTATTCCTGGGCAGCGTTTGCAGCAGATGACACAGCCCAAAGCAGAGGTTCACATGCAGAACAACGGCCTCCAGCCAAAGACGTCCTTGAATGGAAGGATCTCAGATGCCACTGTCTAGGAGGAAAGCCTGAACATCCCCACCCTGTCCCGTAGCTGCTCGCTCCGCATTGTCCCTCGAGCTCCTCCGGCGCAGCTTCATGTCCTTGGCTCCGTGATGGCTTTCACTTGTTGAAGAGGGGACCTGGCGGAGGAGCCTCCTTGTGTCCCTCCTGGCCTGGCTTACCAAGGCCCTGAACAAGCTGTCACCGGGGCGTTGTGCGGTGACCGTCTTCATCCTGCAGCATCCTGGTCCAGGCTCTCAGGGAGGAGCAGCCAGTGCCCACGCCTTCCTCCTCCTGAGCAGAGGTGATGTCTCTAGAGAGCTTAGACTGACTGTTGTCCACTTTGCTTTTCTTGCCTTTCCATGTGAAACTCTGCAGAGCATCCCCCAGCACACAGCTGTGCTTTCACCCCACAGATCTTGCTGACACTGGGTTCAAATTGCAGGTGGCTGTTGATTTATGGAGCATAAACCAACACTAACAAACAACTGGAGGGGATGTGCAGAACAAAGGATACTAGTGCAGAACAAGGGATTCTAGTGAGGAGTCCAGCGTGCTGGTAGCTGTAGGACACCACCCCAAAACTGGAGAAGGGCTTAAGGACAATGTGTGCTGCTCACAGGTGCCAGGTTTCAGCCCTGCACAGTCTCCAGCTGTGTTCCATGCATCCACTGGGGCTGGCCCTGTGAGTCAAAGCCCTGCAGAGCATGCAGCCTTTCTCTTCTGGAGCATCCTGCCCTCTGCAGCTCTGTGCAATAGCTAGTCCCTGACCCTAAAATGCAGTTAAAAGGGTAAGTGAAGGGCTCTTTGCTAGAGGCTGTCCGAATCTGCTACATGACCACTCTCTGCTACAACCAGCTTTGTGCAGAGGCAAGAGGTCCACCATGTGATAGAGAGATTTTCCAGCACTCCCCCCAGCCAATCTCCCACCGGCTGGAAAAAGGTAGTTCCTTCCAAACACCTGCATCCCTGGGTGGGAAATAATATGATGCAGCACAGTGCCCATGGATGGTTTAGTTTACACCTTTTCTGTGAAGTGGCAACACCTAAATCCCAGGAGCTCCTGAGGCAATTGGTAGGATGTAGCCCCCATGCTTAAACCCACCCCTGTGAACCAGTGCTGATGACCCTTGGGAAGTATCTGTACAGCCTGCTACTGGCATTGGCACATCCCAACTCCAAACACACACCACAGGAGACAGTGAGCTGGTGTAGATGATGCTGGAGGAGAGTAACACCACAGAGAAGGCTGGGAAGTATTTCAGAGCAGTCCTAAAGCAGCAATATATTTCTTGGTTATAAAGCCTTGTGAAAGGAGGTGTCTCATCATAGCACCATGTGTAGGTGTGACAGTGATGTTTCCATTTGTGCCAGCTGCCCAATGACCCCATGCAGGGATAACTGTGTACTCAGAGCATTTAAAGAGCACCTACCACACATGTGCACACATGGTGTGACAGTGCAGATTAGTCTCTCCCTACCCATAACACAGCACTGGCACTGCTCACACTTCCAGGTTCAGCTCAGAATCAACAGACTCATAAATGTGCATCCAAGAAAAGCTATGCCCCACCCACACCTCCTACGAAGGGTCTGGTCTCATAAGTGACACAGTGCAGTCCCCTTGAGGTCCCACCTCAGGCGCCAGCTGAGTGATGAGCCTTTGCACAGTTGTCCTGCACTCTGACAGCAGCTGCAAAATGCTGCAGGTTGGCCCTGTGCTGCCTGTCCCTGGCACCTGCCAGTGCACGGGGCAACCTGCTCTTCTGCCAGTCTTCCAGCCTGAGGATCAGTAACAGAAGGAGGGGAGAAGTTTTCTGGTTAAAGCTGAAGTCGGTCGCCTTTGGGGATGGGTCCCCTGCCAACTTGCCAATGCATCTCAATTAATGTTGTTTCAGATGTGTAACCCATTTTTGTTTGTACACGTGGCTCTTAGTGGCTGTGACTGCCAGGCCTTGAGTGTGTGTTTTGTGGTCTCCAACACCCTGAGCTGGGATCACACCCTGTTCCATGTGTAATCAGTCGGGTGTTTGCGTCAAAAAAATCACAGCTGTTAAACAGACATGAGGAAACACCGAATTTACAGGCTTGATCTCGTAAAGCCGAAAGCCAAACACTGAGAGCTGCAATCATAGCTCATCACAATTAATCTCAGCCTGTCACAGACATGTCATCTTTCCTTGTCCCTTATTTGTTTGCGCTAGTACAGCTGAAAATTTCTATTCCAATTTCACCTATTTTTATGAACCAGGGCAATAAAGGAAACCACTCTTTATAAGCAGAGGGACATCTGTGTTGAAAATAAGTGTTAAACCTCTGATCTTTGCAGTAACAACCTTTACTAGACACTTACTTTTGCCTGTACATCCAGGTCACATAACCTCCCTCCCCTCAAATGCAGACTGAGGGTTGCACAGGCAGGTGATGGACAGAGGAGTCAGTTCTTGAGAGAGGCCTTGAAATTGTGGAAGACCTTGTTTTTTTCCAACTTCATTGGGGCAGCTCAGGTCTGAGGCAGAACAAAATCAGTGTCAGCAGTAATTTTTTTAATGCTTGGCCAAAGAGCTTAATTGTTGTTCAAAGGTTGTTCAGAGCTGTTCAAACATTGTTCCTCTGAGGGAGTGGAGAAGGAAGGGTCAAGAAAACAAACTCCTTTTCCTGGTTGTTGAGAAAATCTCTAACCCCCAGTTCCTGTTTGCTAGGATTTTAGCCCCAGCATCTCTCTGACTTGTGGTCTTCCCTGTGGCACATCATTCCAGGTGTAGCAGCAGGGGCTGCCCTATGCACGGACTGCTCATAATAACAATATTTGTTGAGATTTAACCATTTTTCTGCCTGGGACCTTCTCCTTTTTTCTCCCTCCTGCACTTCTCTGTTTTGTTTTCTTTTCTCATTTCTTGCCCACTATTATCCATCCAGTGGAAATAATCTACCTCACCTTGTTTCTTCCTGCTCTTTCAGTTCCACTACTGTAAAATTACAGCTCTCCCTCCTTTCTCTCCTCCTTTCTGTTCTTTCCTCATTTCTATCTCTTTCTATTAACACCAGCCTCTCTTCCCTGTTTCTCTCATATGCCCTCCTTCCAGCCCTATTACTCATTCCTGTGTGCCTGTGGCTCAGCTGGTCACTGTGTGCATGCTCAACCCTTCTGCCCATTGAAAACTGGAGTTCAGGACCCTATGGAGGAGCTCACCTTTTTGCAGCATCCAGTCCCTAAGAAGCCATTTTTTATCCCAATATCAAAATTGTAAAGAAGTTCCAGCTACCTTTTCCTCCTCTTTTCACCAGAAAGCGCTGTGCCAAGCAATGCTATCTCTCGGTATTACTAGAAAGACATTTTGACCCGCATTCCACCAGTCCACAGAGCTGTGCCTGTCCTGAAAGATTTTGTGGCCTTTCCTGTTTTTGCACTATTTTATTTCCACCATGAACCTTTGGATCTGTGAAGTCTGGCATGCGTAACTTTGCAGGTAGGAATGTGTCCTTAGTCAAGCTCTGTTTGGTTGACTGATCCCCTTCTCCAGCATTTCAAACTCATCCTTAGCGCTAGCAGAGCCTTCCCACCTCCCTCACACACAGGTTTCCCATCTAGTGAGAGGTCAGGGATGGTGATGGCTTCCCTTGAGCTCATCCCACACCTCTGAAATGCCACTATGGCCAGGTCCAGCAAGCAGCCATATCTGCATGTTGTCTTTTTGACATCAAGCTTTGGATACTGATTGCTCCATGCCAGTGACTTCTCTGTAAGAACTGCTTTTGTGCTTACGGTGTGTCACTTTGGCTCCTCTTTCCTTTTGACTCACCCAGAAGAGAGGATGCATACATAGCCAGGAGGTGGGATGCTCTCCTCTCCCTTCTGCTGTGGTTCAAATGGGGACTTTGCTCACCTGTGCTCATGTACAGAACTCCTGCCTTTTGTCTGCCCCCTCACCTCACCAGCACCTGCCAGCCTCTCCCTCCCACCACGGGCAGCTGCTTGAAATAATCCTCTGTGAAACCTCTTAATTCTAAGGAGCTATTTAGGGAGCTGTGCTCAAATCCCTCTGAAATCCTCTTTTTCCTGAGGGCTGCAAAATATAAAATAAATGCCACTGCCCCTCTGCTGTAGTGGGGGCTGAGGTGGGCTATGGGGAAGGCAGGATTGTTTCATTGCTGCTCAGGTGCTGCTTCCCCTGGAGTTCCAGGTGTGATCCTCTCCCCTGGGAAAGGGGAGCTCTTCCTGCTGCCATTCTCCCAGATGTGCTCCAAGAGCTGGCAGCTGGAAGCTGGTTGTAAAACACGTGTGCAATGTCTGTGACATGATCCTGATGCCGTGTAAGGCTGCACTCTAAGGCTTTGGCCAGCTGACCACTGTGTAGACTGTAGTCTCTCCACAGCTCTGTTAAATGATGTGTTGGGCACAGTTTGTACTGAGCATCAGAGAGTGCCCTTAAAGCAGGTGTCATTCCGGATGAGCAACTTGTCCTTATCCCTCGTCTGTCCTGGGAGGAGTCTCTCGGGATTGGAGGATCCTGGTTGCATTTGGTGATGGCCAAATGTGGAGGGGATCTGCACCACCAAGGGACATGTCCACTGTGGTTTTGCTTGTACGGAGGGCTACCAGCTTGCACCAAGCACTGCCTGCTTTTCTCAGGACCTTGAGCACATTAAACAGGGTGCTCAGCGCTGGATGTCAGTACTGGCACTGGAGGCCACATGGTGCACCTGTACAACTTGCTCTTCATCTCCTGATGTCTGATCCTGCCTCTATACAACTCTAGATATTGGTCAGAGTCTACCCAAGCAACTCAAGGTAGGAAGAAACAACCTGGAGATTCTGAAACCTGCTGATGACACCTGGGAGCTTTCAAAAATGTGTGCAAGGACCATTCTGATCATTTCACACCTCAAAGCCCTTGAAAAGGCAAGAGAAGATATGTTAAGGGAGGGTTGAAAGATGGGAGTTACCACAGGGGCTGGCTACCATCTCCCCTCCACCTCCTTGACCACTAAAGCAGTCCTTGGTTCAGGCACCTGTCACTTCTTCCTCCTTTTCTCTGTTTTGCATCCTCTTGCTTACATGCCTCGCCTTCTCTCTTCAGGAAGAGGCTTGCCTGCCCATGCCAGTTTTCTCTCCTCCTTAGCCCTGCTTTGCACCTGTCAGCCCCAAATTGCTGGACAGACGTGCCTGTTGCTGGGCCAGGGGGTGGCCAGAGCAGGCAGTCTGGCAGGGAGGGGTGGGGCAGGCTCTGCACAGAGACTAGGGCACTGGGCCCTTTCCTGCTCATGCAGTCACCCCTGTGCAGCTCCATGGCTCCATCCTTCACCAGAGCTTCTCACTGTCTCTGCTATCAGCGCTCCTTCGTGGCATGGGAATCCAGTGCTGTTTTATGGACATCTAACAGGGATGTCAGAGATTTTACCCTCCCCGACTGACAACCCTCCACAAATTCACAGGAGGTGAGTAACAAGGTATCAAGGGCACTGTGAAAGCAAAAGCCACAGTGCTGCACACTCCAAGCATTTTAAGATCTTTCCTCCACTTTTTACGTCTTTAACAGTATGTTAAAGTGGTGTTTGTCATCAGAGGTCCAGGCAGGCGTTGGACCTGCTCAGAACTGCATGGCAGCAGTGATGTTACCTCCCTGGCCCTTGGGGTTTGTTCTCCCCGTCAGGAGCAACCCCCAGGACTGGTGTCCCCTCCTCCAGTGCATCAAGTGCCCTACCCAGTTGTGTGTCTGTGTGTCCTCTTTTGTGCCTCAGGCGTGTGTGTCAGGAGGGCTTCCTGGGGGACTGTATGGTGTTTCCCCTGGCTTTAGTGCTTGCCCATGGGACTGAGACCCATGTGCAGCTGTTAACCACTGGATAAAGGGTTTTGAGCCACAGCACAATGCCCATGGGGGAGACCCAGGAGGTGGTCCTGGAGAGACTCTGGCAAGTGGCAGGGGGATGGGGTGGCATCCCAGTGTCCCCATTACAGCCCTGGCTGAGGCAGCACTGCCAAGGGCAGTGTGGGGCTCCTGCCAAGCTTGTGTCCATCATTCCTGTGATGCTGTCAACTGGGAAGTGTCCATGTCTGGAGATGCTCAGGAGAGGTTAGTGCTCGCCACGCCAATACCTGACAGCCGTGACACTGATGGAGATGCCTCCTGACAGCCTGGCATGATGCCGCTGTGCTGCCAAGAAAACAGCACCAGCACTCACTGGGATTTCAGGGACCAGCCACAGGCTCTCATGGGGTTTCATGTGTCCCCTGCAGAGCTCCTGGGGACTGGCAGCCCTCACCCCCACAGCTGCAGCCCTGTGAGGAGTGGCCATGGAGGGATTTATCCTGACCATACTCCTGACAGCACCACAGCTTTCTCCATGGGACGCTGGAGGGTTGAGGTTTCTGCTTCCAGGTAAGAAAACCCAACTTATCAGGAAGGGACTTGTCTGAGTCACAGGTGTAATGATGTGGGGAGGGGGCTGGCCTCAAAGAGTCCCAAAGCCAGAGCACAGGGGCAGGTAAACTGCTGAGTAGGCACTCCTGCTTGATCACTGCATCTCCCTCAAGTCTGGGGGGCCACAGGCAGAGCAGGGCATGGTGGCACAACTGAGTGTTTTTCTCCCTTTGAAAGCTACGTGGCTCAGAGAAGACTTTTGGCCAGTTTACGTTGCATCATGCTGTTTGGGAAAATACAAATACCCCAGCAGTGAATCCCAGCAGTGACCCCATAAAGAAAAGCACCTGTCAGTTTTGTGCTGACGCTGCTGACCCAGATCCAGACAAAACCTCCACAGATCTACCCAGATGTGAGGTTCAACAGTGTAAACTCACACCCTGCCATCAGCCCAAAGAGCACTCCCTGCTGTTTGCTCAGTGGCCCCAGGCCCCCTTACACAGACTTGGAGGTACATTAGCCCCTGGGCTGGCCCCGGGGGAAGAGGCATGCATGTCTCAGCACGCTGGCAGCGCTGGCTCCCAGCCCTGCTCTCTGCCTGTCCCCAAGGAGCCCATGTGCCTCTCGGTTGCAGCTTTCTCCTGTCTGTGTGGCTGAGCCCAGCCTGCCACCCTCTTGCCTGGGCATCCCCCTCCACCACATACCAGAGCTGACTGACATGTCTTTAAAAATATCTCCTATATGGGGAGAAGGACAAGAGATGGAGAGGGATGACTGCCCTTGGTTGGAGGGGGACAATATCCCCCTCTGCCTCTCCCTGCCTTCCTAATGCTGCCACCATGTCCTGGCCATGCAGCCTCTCCAGGTCACTGCCTGCCCAGCCCTTGGCACAAATGCTCTGATGTGTTTTTGAAGCGCAT